TCGCTTGTTTTGAAGAGAATGACACCAGGAGGCAACACGAAGATTTTAATGATTTGTCGGACTTCGACTGGAGGCATTATTATGCATGTATACGTACGGCAATCTGTGCCTCATCCTCTTGGATTTTATCGCCCATAACCTCTCTTGAAGGTTGAAGGATGGTAGTACTCTCATATTAGCCCTGTCTCGTTATGCTTCACTGGGTTGGCACGACGGTGTAGCCATTATAAAACATTTGCATTGCTGCGTAAAGTTTCAACCTAAAGATGCTGTCGTTTACCTTTCATCACATCCACCGGTTAGGCGTTCCAGCGGTTTGTCAGGTTTGACAGGTCATAGACTAGCGACAGACCATCTACATTTTGTGGAGTGTCACCGCATGCCATTGGTTGCGGTCGTTATTCCTCCAAGGGAATTCGAACTGCAGTCTTAGGCGTTGTGTGCTGCGTCTGATATTGGTCAGGTCACCGTTCATGCGCCTGTATGTCATGGGAAACAGTGTCGTAGCCATCGGACGGTCTTCATAGCTGATTTCACATATTCCCACCACGAGGCGTATACTCACGGTGGCTGGGTCCTGGGAGTGGATCAGTCGGCTTCATGTATATCCCGAACTACCACTGCCCACGCTCGGCGGTCTGCGGCAAGATCAATGTAGATTGTGACCCGAATTGACTTTCATTCGCGATTGCCATAGACGGAGCGTAGACCAAGGTTTTATGTATCTTTGCGTGCCGTATCTGGCCGGGTTTTCAGCTGTCCACTAGGTCGACCATGCAAGTTCGGGCAGGGAGATAGTTGTCGTGTATAACACTCCTTGTCTACTGCATATCGCTGTATTCATAACATTTCTCTTTTATACGTTTCAGCCTATATGCCAGGGTTGTTAGACAAATAAAGCCTTACATCTCTGGGCTCTCAATCTTCTCTCTCTCCCGAGCAAATACCGACTGTTGTCATCTCGTATTCAATACATAACAATTTATTCGTCTAAATAGGAAAAAGTTGCCTCCAGTTTCTTGTTTCTAATGATTTGATCGATAACTCTTTGGAAAGAAGAAACACCATTGGTGATGCCGAAGGGAATCCGACAGAACTGATACAAGTCGCTACCCGCTTCGAATGCCGTATACGTTTTATCTTCGTCCCTTAAGGGTATCTGGTGGTAGGCGTTCTTCAAGTCCAGTGTACTGAAGGTCGTATACCGTGAGATTTTCTCTACCATTTCGTCCATCTTGGGTAAGGGGTAGGCATCCAGCAGAGTGAAGCGGTTAACAGTCTGACTGTAGTCAACTACCATTCTGCGTTTTTGACGTTCGTTGGTGGTAGCAAACACTTGGGCACGCCAAGGAAAATGTGAAGGTTCTATGATACCATCTCTTATCAATTTTCGCACTTCCGTTTTGATGAAAAGCGCGTCCGAGGGCGAATACCTCCGAGACTTGGTTGCAATTGAAGCGCAATCGGGTGTTATATTGTTAAATACCCGAGGTGGCTCTATATTCGCAGCCGCTACACTGCAGACCAGAAATGAATCTTTGGCTCCATTGAACGGAATTTCTATTTTTGAGTGTAATCGAAAAAATCGTGTCCAAGGACGACATCTGAACAGAATTTATCTGACACCGATAGCTTGATATTTGAATAACGATGGTTCTTATACAGTAAATGAACAAGGCAATGTCCATGGGTGAAACTGGTTAAGTTCATCGAAGCCATGGATACAGCACTACGAGATTTTTCGACCTTCCACTTATGTTTGCGTACCACAGAGTGCGATATGTAACTAGCAGAACTGCCAGTGTCAATGAGAGCCTGGAGAGATATTCCGTTTATGGAGAGCCGGATGACTGCATTGGACAGACATAATGGAGCTGCAGCGAGAGTGATGGAGGATATCAGAAAGCTGGTAACAGACGATGAATTTGAGTTTGGCTTGGATCGACAAACCTTCTGATAATGTCCTTTTTTCCGCAAGACTTGCAGATTGCATCTTTAGCCGGACATTTGAAACGAGGATGTTTGGAATATCCGCAGAAGAAACAGCGAATATTGCTCATAGCGGCTATACTTTCTTCCAGTGAACTGGGTTGGTGAGGCACCAAGTTCGATGTAGACTCGTTCTGTGGCTTGGGGTCAACCGCTGCAGCTGTGTAAGCGGAATCGACTGGGTGGAAAACGCTGGACTGTTGATATGCCATCTCCAAGGTTCTAGCCTGGTCGTATGCTGTCTCTAGGTCCAGTGTCCGGTTTTCCAAGAGGCGTTGGTGGATGCTACTGGACTGCATTCCACCGATGAAAGCATCTCGTATGGTGTTTTGGTTTTGCTCGGCCGTGACGGCTACGAAGTTGCAGCCTTTTGCAAGTGATTTCAGCTTCTGCATAAACTGATCAGGACTCTGACCTGCTTCCTGTTTACTGGTAGACAGTATGTGTCGAGCAAAAACCTTGTTCTTCGGTTTCACGTAAAGCTTCTCTAGAATCGTCATAGCGCATTGGAACGTTTCACTGTCGGCAATATACTCGTAAACAGTGGGAGAAACGCATCCAATGAGGTGCTCTAGCTTGTCGTCATCTGATTTCGCCGCTCTGACGATATACAAGGTGAATGTGCGAAGCCAATGATTCCAGACTTTCGCGGCTGAGGGACAATTTGGATCCGCGTCGAAGCGTTCCGGTCGATAAGGCCGATCCATTGTTAGACGAATAAATAGTGTCGAGGCAGCTTTGGTCAGGTCGTTATCAACTTTACAAAGTATGTAGCCAAATCATTGTAGTCGCCGCCGCTGTATTAGCGTCTGCAGCTGTACAAGATTAAAACCGGTTTCTAACCGCTCCATTTGAAAGCCAATCCCTCCGTCATACTCCAAGAATGATTCTTAGGCACCAGTGACCGAAGACTTCTAATCATCGACAATCTTCAACTTTAAGTGGTTAGGTTTCAAAGCCGACAAAACAGGACGGATTGCTACGGAGGAAATTCGTAGTTTTGTCTTAAGGCTGATTTCATTTATACGTCGAAGAGAATCCACCAGCTACAGAAACACCTTTGTTACCAAATCGACGCTCACCCGTACATCCTCTTTAGCTTGGCCGTTGGACAGTATAGTTGAGCTCAGGTATTTAAAGCTTTCGATTGATTCGATAAACTCACCGTTTATTAGTAAAACATCTTCGGGATGAATTGGGACTGTCGCAAACGTTTTGGTTTTTGATGTGTCCACATCCCGGCCGATCTTGGAGGCCTGTCGACTAATGCGGTCAACGATTGCTTGGTGGTTAGATATGTCCTCACCAAAGACGACAACACCAGCGAATTCTGAGTCAATGAGTCAGAAGTTCGGAGGGATCTGAACTCCCTGGTATCATGCCATCGAACGGCCCATTATTCAGTCAACGGCCAATCTGAACAGTATTGGGTCAATGAGCACCCCTGTCGCACTCCAGATCCTAACACGAACGCGAATGACTCCTTGCCGTAGGTGCAGATTCAGGCACTAATGTTGGAATAGAAGGATCTCATGAGGTTAAAAAGTTTAACTGGGGCACCAGAACTAGGTTCCAGAAGGATTGGCGATCTACGGAATCGAATGCCGCACCAAAATCGATTAAGCAGACTTTTTTGGTTTGCTGGAACTTGTGGTGATCTTCCAAGATTAAACGTGAAGCGAATATTTCGTCAACGTAGCCCACACCTTGGTGGAATCTCTTCTGGTTGGAGCGGGCGCACGCGTGTTTTGTTTCAGGAAAGCAGTTCAGCAAAGGCTGTGCAAAACCCTTGGCTGCCACATTAAGTAAACTGATCCCACAGTAGTTTTCGTTCACTGATTGTTCCCCGTTTTAGGGAAAGGTAGTGAAATCGAGGCGTATAGTAGTCCTTTGAACTCTGTTAAATTGGGCAACCTCGTAGGCCGTTCAAGGAAGGACCGCCAGGGCACCATATTCCGGTTGAGAGCGGACGTGAGAGGCGAATAACAACCTGAAAACAATCGAGAGTAATGGACCGAGTGAACGGTAGATTTGTATGGTAACTTCTTCCGTAAGCTTCACTTCCAAGATGCGACTTAGCGTGACACCAGAAAAGCCAATCTCCGCATGGTCAGTTGTGTAATCAGTGACGTAGTCCATTAGCCAGGGTGGTGGTGGCGCAGCGGTTTAGTCGCTGTCACCGGCGTGCTTTGGACCCTATGGTCCGAGGTTCGAGCCCCGCCACCGCCGCCCGACTTTGGTGGTAGGCAGCTCTGCTATCGTCCGGTTCAATACAACGCCTAACCTATCGGGGCCTGGTGGTTCGCCACTCCAAGTTCCGGGGCTTAGGCTATCGATTTCAACCACTGAACAGCAGGTCCTCGTGACTATGGGGTTTGCCCCGTCTGCTGTTCATCATACCTAGGTGTGTAATAAAAAAATTAGCGCCAGATAAAGAGAATCTCCCTGTCGCAACCTTTGAATTCTGGGGATGAATTACGGTGCGTACACACTCGTGAGATAGTGGGTAAATGCTAAGTCCGTAAACTGCGTGAATTTGGTTGGCTACTAATGATTTGCATACACGATCATAACAGGTAGAAACCAAATTTTGACGTAGAGAAGCAGGTCGTTTGATTCAGTTATTGACTGAATCACGTTTTGTATATCCCTAAGTAGACTCCCCGGGTTTTTGGTGCTCTATGAGTTAGTTTTCTTTGGAAACTAAAATTTGGGTTACCATCAAAACCTTCGCTGCCAGATGGATTCATTTAGTTCTACTTCGCTTGCTTCGTTGAGATCTCTTGCTAGAATCATTAGGCGATTCATATGGATTACACACAGTTTGATTGCCATATCTACCTCATTTATCTAAAGTCCACACTATTCGCACGTCTTTGGTAATATTTTATGCAGTTTCTCGCTTGATTCAATAAAATGCGATGACTTGGTACGATATAGGTTACGAACGACAATCCCTATTAATTTATTCAACATTTGCCCTTCAACTTTATAGCTTCTATCTCAATACTATGTCTTTGGCTGATGAATTACTTGCCGACTTGGACGATGCTGAGGCGGCAGAGGAATCAATACCGGACGCGACAGGCCAAGAGCTGGAGGATTTTACAATGGCTTTAGCATCAGACGGACCTACATCTAATTCGGTACTTGAGAAGTCCACGGTGTTGGCCGGAACTGCAGCTTTTTCGGACGTCCCCGTAACTGCCTATGCTAAATTGCGCAACACTGAAAGGGTAAGTTTTTTCTGAACGTGTTGGATTGAGTATCCAGTAGACGCTTGTTTGGATGATGCAGTGAATTCTTAAGCCTTATCTAATTGTCCACTTCATTTAACAGGATTTACGTCAGTTTCATTTACCAGACAGTCGTTCCTCGATACCATTGCTCCCCATCACCTTAAGTGGTGTTATAAAAAGATTCAGTAAACCTTTCGTGGTTGGTGATACTTGAAATCCGGCTCATGGGCTTCTATAGCCTGTTTTGCATGCCGATTATTCTTTTGCCTAACCAGAAACATCCAGCTTGCGGTAAACTTAGCCGTCGACTTTAGAATCAAAGCAGCCGAAGGGTATTGCACAGCGAGAAACCAGCTATTTGATTGTCGTTTTCTTAGTTCTGCAGCTGTTTATTCATTCCTACGATATCTTATCAAATTAAGTGTTCTCACCACCGAACCTGTACTATGAGGTCACTCCAAGGCAGTAGTTGTTGCAAGAGCACAACTTTCAATTGCA